GCAGGGGACCACAGAGATGGCTCAGTAGTCAAGATCACTTGTTGCTATTGAAGAGGATCTGGTTTCAACTCCTAGCATAACACACGGTGGCTTACAACCATCTATAACTCAAGTTCTGGGGAATCAGACACTCTCTTCTCACTTCTACACGCACCAGGCACAGATACATACATGCAGGAAAAATATGCACATAAAAGTAAACAAATCTTTAAAAGAAAAAAAAAAATGAGTAGAAAAAAAAAAAGACCCTGCAGTAATGATGCACGCCTTTAATTCCAGCACTTGGGAGGCAGAGGCAGGCAGATCTCTGGGTTTGATGCCAGCCTGGTCTACATAGTTCCAGGACAGCCTCAAAAAACCAAACCAAACCAAACAAACAAACAAACGAACATAGAGTCAGCAAGAGACAAAGCAATACTCAAATACCAAATCTTCTTCCCTGTTCTCTCTACCTCCCTTTTTCTCTCTCTGTACTCTCTACTTTTGGGTGTGTACGCGCATGTGTTTGAAACAGGGTCTCATGTAGCCGAGGCTTGCTTTGAACTATGTAGGTGAAGGCTGACCTTGAACTATGGTTCCTCCCATTCTTCAAGAGCAGGGATTATAGGCATATACCACTACAGCTGGCTGGAACCCCAATTTTTAACCACTACCACAGTTCATCCTCACTAGTTGTTTTTATAGTGTTCCTCTTAATCACTCAGGCACATGGTACACAGACACAAAATTTAGATCCTTTTCTGGTATATTCTAACAAAATAAACAGTAAGTGCTAAGTATTTTTTATTAATACTGCTTACTCCATTGTGAACATATTTTATACTACAAACTAGAAAATAAAACCAACAACTTGTGTTTGACACCTATACACGGTACTTTTTTAAAAATTATTTTCAGTATAAACTCTCTAAGTCCTAAAACATGTTATTAAACTTTAATATTGACTTCCTTATCTACCAAAATCTGTTTTATCTATTTGTAGAAACCTCTTTTACTAGCCTTAATTTAACTTGTTGCTAAAATATATAAACTACTCTACTGATTTTCAAAGATTTTCTTTCCTAACAACAACAACAAAATCATAAAACAGAGCCTGTAAGAACGGACCAATAGAGCTGGCGGGGGGGGGGGGGAATACATCTTTATTCCAGCACTTGAGAGGTAGACACAGGTGGGGGTCTCTGAATTCCAGGCCAGTCTGGTCTACAGAATTCCAGGACAGCTAGGGCTACACAGAGAAACCCTGTCTCAATAAAATAAAAAAATAAAATTAAAAAAAATAAATAAAATAAAATAAAAAATAAGCAACAAAAGTATAGTTTATCAGGTAAAGGCACTAGTTGCCCAAGTCTGATGATGTGAGTTTAATCCTAGATCTAAACAGTGAAAGATCAAACCCATTCCTGAAAGATATCTTCTGACCACCTTAACACACATGTCCTGTTGGGAACACACGCACTAAGCCCACATTTGCATGGACATGTACACAGACACCACACCATCAATATGAATTTTTAAAGTACATAAGACAAATATAAAAGAGATAAAGTTAATGTCAAAATGAAAATAATTTTTTTCTGAATAAGATTTATCTCTAATTTACAAAAGAAAAAGTTTACCTCCATTAATTGTCTGAAATCAGGGTGATTTGATAACATAGGAATAAATAAATAAATAAATAGATAGATAGATAAGTAAATAAATAAATAAATTCCTTAATTGGAGACCTTTTGTTGGTTTTTGCCCACAGCTCATTTTCAAATAGAATCCAGGCTTCCAGAATGCTAAGCAAACAGCCTACAGCTAAGCCATATTCCCACCTGTTTTCCTTTGATATGTCCTTACAGAAAGATGTGTCTGTTGTAAGAGTATCAGAAAACTGATTCTTTCAAAACACAAGATGGTTCTTACAGCAAATTACATTTTCACATCATTATAATCCTAATCCTAATTCCAATTTGATTCATCTAACTAATTCTTGAGAAATGAGTGTGTGTGTGTGTGTGTGTGTGTGTGTGTGTGTGTAAAAGGTCAGCTGTATTTGCGGAACAGGGTTCTGCCTAACGTAGCTTTCATCCAACCTGGGGGTTAAAATTAGAGGGAAAAAAAATCAGGAAGGCTTCTCTGAGAAAGTATTACTTGAGCTGAAAAATTAAGGTACAAGTTGACTGAAGGATGACAGTGCTGAAACAAACCAGATAAGCAGAGTAGCGTAGGCAAAAGCCCTAACTAGAAATGTTGTCTACACAAATTAAATCAGTGTGGCTGGAAGTTAGTTAAGAGAAAGGAAGAGTCAGAAGGTAAAGCTAATGAGTAAGACAAGAACCAGGTTATGTAGAATCTCGTGATTCTGAATTCCCCCCTCCCCATCCCCTTGTTTTAAGAGAAGGTCTTGTAGCTTAGGCTGATATATCTGAGGAGGACCTTGAATTCCTGATCTTCCTGTCTCTGTCAGCGTTAACGGGTGCTGGAGTTCAATCCCAGAGATTTGTGCATGCTAAGGAAGAATTCCAGCAACCTAACTATAACCCTAGAATGCAATTTTAAATTTTATCTTAAAGTAATAAGCACCTTGGCAATGGGAAAGTCACTGAAGGGTTTTAAGCAAAGAAATTATATGTTATTTAAATGAATCGAGAAACAGAGTGGTGAGTTTGGGAAGAAAATAAGAATTAAAAAAAAAAAAACAACAGGGAAATCAGAGAGTAGTGTTTAGCTCATAATTACAATAATAATTAATTCTTCAGGGTTTCTCTGTATAGCTCTGGCTGTTCTGGAACTCACTTTGTAAACCAGGTTGACCTCAAGCTTATGGAGACTGGCCTGTCTCTACCTCCCAAGTGCTGGGATTAAAGTCGTGTGCCATCACTTCCTGGCTTAATAATTAATTCTTATTTGCTGTGTTTCTGTGTGTCAATGCTTTCCCAAGTTTACAGAACTCATAGCAATCCACTAAGTTGAGAACTCTTATTCCTATTTTACAGGTGAGAATACGAGCCAAAGAGATCAAATACATATGAAAAAGAACTGTAGTTTGAACTAGAAAAATAAAAGATGATTAGACATAGATGCAAAACATATATACTGGAAGTAAAACAGAACTTGGAAAGGATATGAGAACATCGGATGAAGAAATCAAGAATGTCTCTCAAGCCGGGCAGTGATGGTGCTCTAATCCCAGCACTCAGGAGGCAGAGGTGTAGGCAGATGCAGGCGGATCTCTGTGAGTTTGAGGCCAGCCTGTTCTATAAAGCAAGTCCATGACAACAACCAGTGGTATACAGAAAAACCTTGCCCATAAATAAATAAATAAATAAATAAATAAATAAATAAATAAAGGAAGAAAATCAACCTTTTAAGCTTCTACTCAGTGTAACTGAACAAATAAATATGTCACATCAAATGGATGTATCACTTATGGAAATAGACACTGGCAGGGAGAGAATTTGGGTACAGAGAGAAAGATGAAGACTCTCTTAAGTTTTTAGAAGTGTTATATTTTAAATTCCTAAAGGGAGAAAAATCAACTTGAGAAGTTAAACAGTCGGCTATTTGAATATGAAATAAAAATTCTCAAGGTATCAATATATAGTGAAATTTAAAGCTTTGAGAGGAATGGAAGAGAAATAGAAGAAGAACCCCAGTCCAAAACCACATTGTTTTACCCCGTCAAAATTTCTCGCCAAGACAAGTGACGTCTGTCACCGGGTTTTTCAGTTCCTCAGTTACCTTTTGCCAGTATGCAACACTACTCTTTCTAATCCTTACCCCTCTATCCCTTATTAAACGTCAGGCGTCTCTCAATGCTACCGAAGTACCCTTCTTTTCTAGCACTGCACTCTTCCTAATGTCATGCATATGCAAAGGCTCCAGATATTAACATGGCAAATGACATACATAATAAACACGCATGCATCTATCTGTGTCTGTCCCAGTACCCTACTCTAATATCTAACCCAAAAGTCTCTTATCTTTCAGCTAGAGACTCATTAGGGATTGTAACTCGCCAAAAGAATACCCGAAAACCACTTCAGCACAACTCTCCCAAGACTCGGAATTTTATTACCAATTACCATTTTTTTTTTTCCGCCAGATCTTGATTTAAAATTGTTAAGTTAGACATCGTCAGTGTCTGTCACAGCTAGGTGCAGGAGGTAACCAGATGCCCGACAAAGACTGCACCCCCTGACTTCTGGCGAGCAATGTCTAAAAAGAATGGTTTAAGAGCACGAATGACTATCACATCAAGACCGTGATAGATAATGTGGCAACGGAAGTCACCTGGAAAGACGGCAGGCCTTGCTAGGAGGCAAGCCCAGACCACCAGAATGAACCCTGGTGGACGGGGGCCGGGTTTAGGATGCTGGAAGCGAGTGACAATACGAACCGCGCTAAAGGAGAGAGAAAGTGGAGGGAAAACTCTCGAAGGAGACACCTGTAAGGAATGGGAGGCGTCCAAGGACCCGGGGCAGCCTGAGGAGGAGCCGGGCGAACTCCGGGGTGGACGCCGAGTGGGCGGACCGCACAGGGTGGGGGGGTGCCGGGGAAAACGGCCCAATTCAGAAGCTGTCTGGGCCCGCCTTACCTGTGCCAGGGGGTCCCAGCGCGGAACAAGCCTGCCGGAAGCACAGAGTTCCCGCGGAGGGGGAGGAGCCGAGGAGCTCAGAAGGAAGGGGCTCCCCCGGCCTCAGAGCGAGGCCGTTCTCTCCCCTAACACACCTAAACCCGCTGATGGCGGGAACTGTGACTACACGCAAACACGTACGTACGCACGCACTCCAGACGCAGCCAGTCCAGGCGCGTGCGCGTAAGCGCGCAAGGCCCGCCCCTCACGGACTCGCTCCGCCCCTCACCGAGCCCATTCCCTAACCCGGGGGCCCCGCCTCTGCCGTGACGCTACTCTAATGTACATGCGCACTTGCCACTTTACCCACTTTGGACCTCCCACCATTTTCCTCTTGCTCAGCCTGGTTGAGCATGCGCAATTCGTGTCCCTCCAAGACTGTCGGCCTTTTCCCGCCCTTCTCTGGCCTTAGGAGGGAAGTCGGAGTTCACTCTCCTCAGGGCCTACACCTGCGAGGCCAGGGGGATACGAGGACCAGGAGTTTGCAGACGTCATTTTGATCCTGAATCTGAAGGCTCAAAGAACATACTTTGCGACCATTTGCTAGCCCGAGGGCCAGGAGGCGGGAAAGGGCTGTGTGGGCGGAGGGTCAGAGGTGAGAGGTCAAAGAGCTACGGAGGGGGAGGAGCGAGCCGGAGGCGGATGGCGGCTCTTCATCTGAGGCTGCACAGCCGCTAGAGCGGGGACGCGGGTCCGTCGCGTCCGGTGGAAGGAGGAGGGCGGCGGCCGCTCCCAACATGCACAGTCTGGCGACGGCAGCGGTGAGTTGCTGCGACCGGATGCCGGTCTAAGCCTGTTTTCTAGCTTCCAGAGACGGGCCCCGAGTCCGGCTGCTCCGCTCCTAGCCGCGAGGTCCGTGAGTCTCCACACCGCGCCCCGACCGTGGTGGAGCCGGACCCCCGCTGATCCCCGCCAGACACCCCCCTCGCCCCGCTCCTGGCTTCGCGTGCGGCCTCTCGAGTTCTTTTTCGGCGCCGAGGCCTGGTCCCGCACCCCGCGCGGCCCCAGCAGGCCATTCATTGATTCATTTGCGCTCAGCGTCAGTTTCTGGACGCCGGTTGTGTGCTGGGCGTCGGCGAGGATGAGGATAATTCCATGGCCATTCGCTCTGGTCCCGTGCTCCCGGAACTCCTCTCCTAGGCACATCTCAGTGGGAAGGAAATGGCTTCTAGCTCAAGCCACTTGATTTGCGTGTAGAAATCCAGAGACCCGAAGTTCAGGATCTGACTTACGGTTCTCTGCGTTTGAAGCCTTCCTCGAGCACCTTGTTTTATCTTTTAGCAAGAAAATTGAATCAACGTATTACACCTCCTTGAAGTCATACTATATGGCTTTTGGTTGAATTTAGAGAAAGTACAGTCCTTGGCCTACAAGCCCTGTATGATGTCCTTAGTCACGTTTATGGGCTGTGTTTTTGTCACTTGCTCCTTATTCCATATGCACGTTTCCTCTGCAAGATGCAGTCTCTAATTTCTCTACTTGGAATGTCCTTCTCAGGGCTTTGCCTTCATACATGCACACAGGTCTCCCTTAGAAGTGACTTTTTCTGGCCATATTCATAGCCGCTTATAGCCCCAACATTTTCTGTTGTAAAAGCATTGGTCCCAGTATTGAACTATTGGGTTTTTTGTTTGTTTTCTTTAACTTGTGGGTTGTGTGTCTCCCTCTTGAGGTCAGGGGCTGGGTGAATTCCTGTTTGGTTTCCCCACTGCTAGGACAGTTAGTTCCTGCTTCAAGGTAAGCGCTCAGATGGTGCTGATTGAACGTCTGCTCTCAACATACGGGAAGCATGATAGTTCAAGAACACTTCCAAAGGCCAATTCCACGTTGTTTCACCAAGAGGAAATGATTTCAGGAAAATAATGGACTGAAACAAGCATGAGAACCTGAGTTCAAGTTCAATGCACATAAAACGCCAGCTGTGGCTGCATGTTTCTTTTTGGATCAGGTCTGAGCCTGAAGTGCTTAGATAGACTAGCTAACCAACAAACCTACCTGTGAGTTTTGGGGTTCTAAGATAGTATGTCTTCATGTCTAGCTTTTGTATGGGTACTGGGCATCCATCTAAACTCAGGTCCTCATGGCTTGAGTCACAGGCATATACTGAGCTATTTTCTCAGTCCATTTTATTATCTTTGTGTTAAAACTAATCGAATCCCAGATGTCCTACTCTTGGGCAGGAATGTACTCAATAAGATTGATTCACGGCTGCCTGCAAACCTCCTGTTTAAACTTGGCAAAGAATCCAGCTTCTCTTTGCTGGTTTGCTTTATTTAGTGTGTGTGAGAAAGACAAGCAAACACACGCACATGCAGAGAGAGAAAGACTTGTGGAAGTCAGTTCTCTCCTACCATGTTGAGTCCTGGGATAATACTCAGTATCGGGCTTGTGGCATGCTAGGCTAGCTGAGTTATTTCGCTGGCCCTACTGTTTTGTTTTGTTTGTTTGTTTGTTTGTTTTGTTTTTTAAGTTATTTTGAAGCGGACACTAACCTATAAGGACAAGCCTTGGGAGGCAAATAAAGCAAGATCACAAATTCCAGGCCAACCTGGTCTATATAATCCCCAGCTTAACAAACAAACACAAACAACAAAAAGTTACTTTCAAAGAAAAAATTGTGGGGCTGGAGAGGTGACTCAGAGGTTAAGAGCACTGGTTGCTCTTCCAGGGGTTCAATTCCCAGCAACCACATGGTAGCTCACAACCATCTGTAATGAAATTTGGTGCCCTCTTCTGTCATGCAGGTGAACATATAAAACAACATTGTATCCAGCCATAAACAAATCTCTTGTTTTAGAGGACAGTTAGCTGCTGTTTTTAATTTTTGAGATTATAGTTTAATTACATCATTCCCCCTTCCTCTCCCAAAACTCTGTACCCCTATCTCCTTGCTTTCTTTGAAATTCATGGCCACTTTTTACTTTAAAAACAATTATTATATATTACTGTGTATAAGTATATATTCAGTTGGGTTAAGTACTAATGTCACTAAAGTCAGGGTGAAATGAATAGGGATGATAAAAAGGAGGATCCCAGGTAGGCACCAAATAGCCCTTCTGCTGTTATAATGGCTGCAGAACTGAAGCTAGTGTCTTTAAGAGCCTCATTACCACCTATTTGAAGTGGTTCTGGATCAAAGTCACATGGAGACTTCAGCCTCCACAGATAAGTGCTAGAGGTGTTTCTGGAGGAGGTGGTTATGCCTTTTGAGGCATTGGTCTTAAGGGTGCCTATACCACTGGCAGAAGGAAACACTATCTGCTTGCATCAGATCAGCTCTGGAAAAGGAACATAGGATGGGACTTGGTGCACAAGTGTCATGGCGTGCTATCTCGTGACTACCAGACAAATTGAGGTACAGAGGTGTTGGATATAAGTTACAGTCTCGTTGTTAGTGGAAGAGGAAAAGGCCGTTGAGTTTATTAGTGGTGGTATATGTATGTATGACAAGACTTGGGAGAAGGTTGCCTGGAATGGGTGCTGACCCAGGTAGATATGATATTGCTGATCTAGTTACTGTCTTTTAATTATTGTGTCGTAGGACTTTCTCTATGAGAACTAGGCAAACGACTTCAAGCTAAAACGTAGCCTACGTTTCTGTAAATTTCTTAAGGTGATGGCCTAAACATGTATTTTCTCTTTTTGTGAGAATGTGTTTTACATACTTTGTTTAGTATGGTCCATATCAAGCTGTGTCTTTTCACAAAGGGCTACATAATATTCCGTTACAAAGGTGCACTGTGATGTTTAAGCCATCTCTTATTGATAGCTGTTTGTTAGTTTTCTGCCTTAAAACTTTACAATAGTTAGCATCCTCATATTTTCAGTGCAGCTCAAATCTACCTACAACATAACCTTTCAGACATGGGCTCATTAACTTTGCATCAGATATGAGTTAGTAAAGCTCCTATTATTTATAAAACTGCATGTTTATAAAGCACTACTGCAGGACTTGGTTTCATTGTACAAAATTGGCATCATCTGTTTTCTTGTTTTTCCCTGAAGCCTGTGCCTACCGCACTGGCCCAAGTGGACAGAGAGAAGATCTATCAGTGGATCAATGAACTGTCTAGTCCTGAGACGAGGGAGAATGCTTTGCTGGAGCTAAGCAAGAAGCGAGAATCTGTCCCTGATCTTGCTCCCATGCTGTGGCATTCATTTGGTACTATTGCAGCACTTTTACAGGTGGGTATGTGTCCACAAGTAGGAACTCAGTCATGTTTGTCACACTTGTGTTCTTTCTTCCTTTGCTCAAGTGTGTTTGAAGACTTTAGGATGGTTGTTTAAATACTAACATTTCTAAGAATCTATTTTTTAAAAGTCAGAGGTATTTGTTAAATGCATATTTTTGGGATCTACCCAGAAGATTGAATTTAGTCGGTCTGAGAGGTAGGCCTTAAAATCTATTGTTTAACAGGTGAATTAATAACTGTGTTGTGAAACAGCTTTTAGAAGTACGACGGATAGATCTGTAGGGAAGAATATAGAAATAGGATGAGGACCATAGATGTGGTCTAAGGAAAGAAAATGTTGAGATAAAGGTAGGTTTCTGTGTACATTAAAGAATAAACAACTGCATCTTCTAAGGTGGCTCAGTGGGTAAAGGCATTTGCCGCCAAGCCAGACAACCTGAGTTTGATTTCTGGGTACAAAGATGTGAATCCTGCCTCTGCACCTGTGCTGTGATGTGCACACACACCACACAAACAAATAAGACCAAGAGTAAATACCTGAAAGTCAGGTCAGACCAGTGTGGTGATTGGTGGAATAAGTTAAAATGGACCGATCTCAAGGTACCCAGGTATTAGAATACTATAAAGTCTTTCCCAAAATTACTAATAATCATTCAAATCTGTTTGGTAAATTTATATGCTATTCCTAACACATGTAGCCAAGAAATTGTTAGTGTTGTGAAGGGATTTTCAGGTAAAATAAGCAGAATTGTATTAACATTGGCCTCATTATAAAGTAGAATACAAGTAAAAGTTACAAAAAAAAATAAGTGTCCATCAGCTACAGGGCCTGGAGAGATGGCTCAGTGGTAAAGAACCCTGAGTACTGAAGTCCTAGATTTGATTCCCTGCACCTACATTGTCGCCTACAACCGGCTCTAACTCTAGCTCCTGGGGATCTGACACCCTATTTCTGTTTCTATGGACATTGCATTCATGTGGTGCGCAGATAATACATGTAGGCAAAACACCGACACATAAAATCAAGACTAGCTGCAGTATCTAGGAGGAAATATGGGAGGCCCATTTGTTTTCATAGCAGTATTCCTAGAGACACATAGGAAAAGGGCTTGCCTACTTAGTCTAGTACACTTGTGATAAAAAATAATTCAGTTTCTGCAGGAATTAAAAGTTACTATGCTGTCATACTGGTAATAATTTTATAATTAATTGATAGGTGGGATTCTTTGCACTTTTCAGGAAATTGTAAATATTTACCCATCTATCAACCCTCCAACCTTGACAGCACACCAATCTAACAGAGTTTGCAATGCTCTAGCATTGCTGCAATGTGTGGCCTCACACCCAGAGACAAGGTAAGTGCTTTGAGTGTGTTGGTAAGTAAAGGGGGGAAGGTATTTGATAGGAATTTAAATACCTCTGCTGAGCAATCAGAGAAGGGGTGTGTGATGTAGTGTGTGGGTATGAATCTTCAGAGCTCAGTTTTAACTCATTCATGGCAATGTTTTGTTTTGTTTTGTTTTGTTTTTCTTATAGGTCTTAGTGGGTTAGATATTTTTAGTATATTTTCTACGTGTCTCTTGGATTTTGTTTTTAATGTTTTATTGGTTGGTTTTGGAGTTGTTAGTTGGTGTTTGTGGGTGGGGGGTTGCCTGGTTTGTTTTTTGTTTTGTTTTGAGACAAGATGGTTTTGTTTTTGTAGCTGAGACTTGGTCTTAAACTCTTAATCCTATCTCCAAGAACTGAGATTATAAGTGTGTGCCACCATATACCTACTTTTTTCTTGTTTTTCTTTGACTGTTGACATATATTTCTACATTGTTAAGTTTGATAGATAATTCTAATTTCTGGTTACAGATTTGAAGGAAGTATAATATGCTTTAAAATGAAGCAGAATATGATTCTATACTTTTGGTTTTTTGATATAGGGTTTCTCTGGGTATCATTGGCTGTCTTGGACTCACTTTGTAGATCAAGCTGGCCTGAAACTTACAGAGATCTGCCTGCCTCTGTTTCCCAGAGTGCTGGGATTACAGGCATGTAACACTGTGCCTCACACATACTTTTAACATCATAGAAATAGTTTACTAATTTAGTGATTTGCTATGTTCCCAGAGGAACATAGTTACCTTAAAAATATTTTCTGGCAGTGATTCAATCCCAAACATGAAACCAGAGCTTTAAGCCTGGAATGGTGGTTCATTCCTTTAATTTCAGCACTCTAGAGGCTAAGACAAGAGGCTTGCTAAATAGTGGTGCCATTTCAAAACACCAAAATTAAGTAATTATTTTATATTCACTTAAATCAGTGAAGTTTTAAAGAGCAATGGGCATATCACAGAGGAAAAGTAATATATGTTAGGTGCATGGCACTTCTCTTTTCTAAATCATGATAGGCACTGAGCCATGACTGTTGGCACAATACAGGGCATATATAGGAACTCAGTAAACATTTTTTAAAGCACTTTTTCTCACCAAATTCATATTTTATTTCTAAAGCCTTCTTGTTTGAGATAAAGTCTCACTATGTAGATCTGGAACTACTACTATGTCTAGGAACTCACTATAGAGACCAGGCTGGCCTCAATTTTACTAATATCTGCCTGCCTCTGCCTCCCCAGTGCTGGTATTAAAGGTGTGCACTATTATATCTTGCTTCAGAAGATTAATATAGAATTCTAGGCAGCCTTTGTAACTTAACTGGGGATTGACATGCAAGGTAAAACTTTTTTGCCATATTCTCATATGTGGAAAAGTAGATAAAATCCTGTTCAAGAATCTTCTTTGAGACCAGTGAGATGGGTCAGCCAGTAATAGGACTTACACCTATATCTGAGAGCGTGAGCTCTATTTCTATGATTCACATAGTGGGGGGAGAAATATGTGACCACATCACTTTTCTACCAACACATATATAAATAACGAGATAAACTTTATCTTCTGTGTAGTCTTTTTTTTTTTTTTTTAAGATTTATTATTTATATAGTATTCTGTCTGATACGTTGCCTGCACCCCAGAAGAGGCACCAGATCCCACTATAGATAGTTGTGAGCCACCATGAGGTTGCTGGGAATTGAACTCATGACCTTTGGAAGAACAGCCAGTGCTCTTAACCTCTGAGCTATCTCTCCAGCCCTACTGTGTAGCTTTTGATTGCCTTCTTTTGTCTAGTATCCTCATGAAGTCTGAGTGTTAGTACTGATCTTTCAGAAATTTTTAAAAAGTAACTAAGAAAATGATTTTAGATGTGCATAGTGGCACCCATATAATTTCACCGCTTGGGAAGGCAGAGGCAAGAAGATTACTGCAAGTTCAAAGCCAATCTGGACTGCATAATGTAGTGAGACTTTCCTGGTTTGGAAATCCAAGAAGAGAATTATTTATGTGCACTTACAAGAAGTATAGAAATAGATGGTTTTTCATATTAGTTGCCTGACACATTAACTACAAGTTGAAATGCTTTCAAGGTATGTGGTGTATTTGGTATGACAAATACAAAACAAAAAAGAACAATATATGTTTAAACACAGCAAAGCAGCTGGACATAGTTGGCTATATCTGTAATTTCAGCACTTAGGAGGTCAGAAGTTCAAAGTCACCCCCAGCTACATCATAAATTTAAGGCTAGTTTGGGCTAAAAAAGACATTGTCTACACTGTCTATAAATAAACCACAGTAAATAAACCTGATAGTGATTCCTTTGTTTTGGTATCTTGTTTTAAGTTAAGGTTTTATCTGACTTAGTCTGTGAAATCACTATTAGCTTATAAGTTAAGTAAAGAATTGATTGAAAATGATCTTTTTAAAAAAAGTGTGTGCGTGCTCAAGGGCATACAAATGTGCCTAGCTGCCACTTCTGTCTGGATACTTACAGGGACTAGAAGATTCCCCTATAATTGGAACTACCAAAGACAGTTATAAACCACAGGAATGGATGTTGGAACTGAACTCAGGTCTTAGCAGATTCCCTTATCTTAATGACTTCAAGCCATCTTTTCAGCCTCCTGGAATAATCTCTTTAGTCTTTAGCACTAATGTAGCTTTGTTGTGTTGTGTTGTTTGTTTGTTTTTGGAGACAGTGCCTTTAGACTAACCTCAAACTCATGAGTTTACTCCTTTAGGCAGACCCTTGTGTGCTAGGATTCTGTGTGAATGTGTAGCAACACAATGGTTTTAGCATTTATGGCTTGGGTTTTGTTTTATTTTGTTTTTAACCTACGGTCAAGTACTTTTGAGTTAGTCAGTTTTTAAAGTCTTAAGTATAGACTGAAAGTAAATTGTGTTATTTTAATCGCCCTAGCCTGGGTTGCTCTTCCACATTGACACCTTGGGCTGTGTCTTTATGGTGTGTCAGTGAGGGCGGGAAGGTGCTCTTCTAACAGTGTAGACATGTCTGGCTTCTGTGACTGGATCAGGAACCCTTGATGTCTCATTCTGATAATCAAATATATCTCCAAACATTGACATATGTCTCCTAGGGTACAAAAATTATGCATTCTTTGCTGTGTGCAGTGGCTCACACCTGTAATCCTATCACTCAGGGACAGGCAGATCTCTGAATTTGAGACCAGCCTGGTCTACAAAGCAAGTCCAGGACAGCCAAGGCTATTACGCAAAGAAACCCTGTCTTTTTAAAAAGGAAAAAAAAAAAAATCCCATACTATGACAATCTCACATTGTTTCAGGCTTAGAAATTTGATTTTTAGACATCATCTCTGGGCCCTAATGTGGTTGTTTTTTTCTTTCAGGTCAGCTTTTCTTGCAGCACACATCCCACTTTTTTTGTACCCCTTTTTGCACACAGTCAGCAAAACTCGACCCTTTGAATATCTTCGGCTCACCAGCCTTGGAGTTATTGGTAAGTTGTTTTTGTTTTTGTTTTTCTTGAGAGAGGGTCTTGTGTAACCTGGGTTGGCCCCAGGGTCACTGTGTACTGAGGATAGCTTTGAATTTTTTAACTTTCTGATCCTTTAACCTCCATCTCCAAAGTGCTGGGACTACACAAATACTTCCCCATACTTTGTGTGGTTTTTAATGTGCTGCAGGGGTTCAGACTTAGGGTCTTAATGCATGCTAGGCAAGCACTCTACCAACTGAACTGCATTGACATCCTAGATAAGTTAAGGGATATCTTGTAAGCCTGAAATTCTTACTGACAATAGTGGTCTAAGGTTGTGTGTTTTGTATCAAATATGGAGGGAATAAAGAGTAACTTTTTGATGTTAACTAAGTTGAGTGGACTTAGTTAAATAACTCAGAGCCCTGTACGAGGCTAGTGTTCTTAACACTGAACATTTCCCCCCCGGGTTTTTTTGTTTTTTGTTTTTTTGTTTTGTTTTGTTGGTTTGGGTTGGGTTGTGTTTTGCTGTTGTTGTTTTTGTTTTGTTTTGTTTTTGTTTAAATTATTTCTTAAATTTTGACACAATGGCTCATTAAGTTGCCCAGGCTGGCCTTGAACTCACACTCTTCAGTCTCCTAAATGTTTTTGGTGATAGGGCATATGCCATTGTGTCTGGCAAGAACTTAATTCAGTAATCATAATCACATATATGTATATATATGTGTGTGTGTGTGTATATATCTTTCTGTTTGAAGATCCTTTTTTCTTTTTTCTTTTTTTTTTTTTTTTTTTTTTTTTTGAAGATCTTTTTTTCATGCCTAATGTGCCTACATGAATTCTCTCTCTTTCATTCTGTCTGTCTACTGTCTATCTCTCTGTCTCCTGGGTAGTCCAGATTGGCCTTGAATTCAACAACATTTTCCTGCCTTAGTCTTCTCAATGCTGGGACTACAATCATGACTCACTAAATCTGACTCTTTTGTTGTTTTTTTGTTGTTGTTCAAATGGATATGAAATGGATTCCCTGACATAGAGACCACAGTCTATATGTATTATTAAATTCCAAAACTTGCTTTTAATGAGCAATACAGGGTAAATATAATTAGAAATCCTTTCTCTAAAATAATTTTGCTTATCCATATTTTCTTTAGGGGCCTTGGTTAAAACAGATGAGCAAGAAGTAATCAACTTTTTATTGACAACAGAAATCATCCCTTTGTGTTTGCGCATTATGGAATCTGGAAGTGAACTTTCTAAAACGGTGTGTGCTTTTGAGATTGAATGTTGTTTTTTTAGCTCTGGAGCTGCTGCTTTGTTGCTCTAGAATCATTTTCTGCCTCTCCAGACTTTTCACCTTCAAAAATGTTTTTGTTTTTGTTTTTCCTTTTAAAATGTATTTGTTTGTGTGGGTATAATTGTGCCATGCCACACTTGTGGAGATAAAGGACAACTTTGGAGAGTTGACTGTCACCTTCTACTTTATCTCTGGTTTCTACTGCTGTGAGCTGTCCACAGACTTCTTTGACGATTCTCCTGTCTCTGCTTCGCATCTCACTATAGGAGTGCTGGGATTATAGGTGCATGCTGCCATATCTGGCTTTTTATGTGGGTTCTGGGGGTCAAATTTGGGTCATCAGTGTCTTAGTTAAGGTTTTAATTGCTGTGATAATCTACTATGACTAAAAGTAACTTGAGGATGAAAGGGTTTGTTTCATCTTACAATTTGTAGTCGACTATCCAGGGAAGTCAGAGTAGAAAGGCAAGGCAAGAACTGATACAGCTGCTACTGGTTTGCTCCACATAGCTTGTTCAGCTTTCTTAAATCACCCAAGACCATCAGCCCTCTTCTGGCTTCGAAGGACACCTGCATACTTTAGTACACATAAACTCATACTCTCTCAAATTTGGAACAGTCCTTCTACCTTAGACTCCTGGGGATTAGGATTATGGACATGTATCATGATACCAGGCTTGTGTTTAATTTTTTTGTGCAGCACCTATAACACTTTGCTCATAGTAGGCACACATTGAAAGAAAGGTTCTTGGTCACGGCTGTTATGAATGATGTAATAACCAGGGAGGTATTTTTAAAACACAGGGGTGGGACTGGAGAGATGGTTCAGTGGTTAAGAGCACTGGCTATTTTTTTCTGAGGATCCAGGTTTAATTCCTTTTACCCATATGGTGGCTCACAACCATGTATAACTCCAGTTCCAGGGAATCTGCTGCCTTCTTTTTCTTGCCTTTGTGAGCATTGATTGCACATGGTGTACAGACATAGATGAAGGCAAAACACCCAATAAAAAAATAAAAAAGACAAATCTTTTTCTAAAATCTGCGGCTGGAAAAATGGCTTGGTAGTTAAGAGCACTTAGTGTATAGTCATGGCAACTGGAGCTCAGATTCCAACACCCATGTAACAGGCTTTACGTCCTGTGCACACCTATACCCCAGCTCTGAGCAGATAGAGATAAGAGAATCACTAGGGCTTGCTGCCTTCCAGCCTAGAGTGAAACACAAATCCCAGGTTCAGGTAGAGACCCTGCCTGGAAGAAATAGGGAGAGAATGACAGAAAACAGCTGACACGCTCTCTGGCTTCTTCACAGACCTGCAAACATATATGCACACATACTTAAACAGACAGAAATAAGTCTTTAATAACCAAGAATGTGCACATCTAATCTTAGACCTACCATGAATGCTTTTCCAGGGCAGTAAAGTTTAGTTAGATAGGTGTTTATATGATTGGCTGGTTGTTTATGTTTTTGTATGTATGTGTGCGGGCCACAGCACACATATGAAGGTTAGAGGACAATTTGTGGGAGTTGCTTCTTTCTTTCCAGCACATGGATCTTGGGCATTGAACTCAGATTCTCAGGTTTCGTGGCAAATGTCCTTACCCACAGGGTCATCTCACTGGTTGGTTGGTTGATTGAAGTCCTGCTGGGACTAATTTAACTATTTAGGAACCAGGCATTATCCACTAAACTAGACATATGCCTGCTGTATGACTTGTCAGTGCCACCCCAGGCATGTTCTCAAGAGAAATGTGCTCCTATGTATGGCAAAATATGTACTAGAAAGGTTATAGCATTTAATATATAAAGGTTAAAAAGTTGTATGGTCATAAATAACTGTATATTAAAGAATGGTATGATATATCTTAAATATGCATTTATATATGGCTATAATTATGTTAAGCAAAGAAATAACACCTATTTTTACTGTGATTCCACTTAGGAGAAGTTCAAAAACAAGTAAAAGGGGTAGAGAGATTGACCAGTGATTAAGAGCACTGACTGCTCTTCCAGAAGATCTGGGCTTATTTCCCATCATCCACATACCAGCTCACAGCTATCTGTAATTCTGGGGGATCCAACATCCACTCTTACTGGCTGCCATGAGCACAAAGCATGAACATGGTACACAAACATATATACAGACAAAACAGTCATCCACATTGGTGGTGCCTTGGAGTACTGGCTTACTGGTTTACCATTTTTTGTTTGTTTGTTTTTAATTATATATTTTTATTTTATGTCCATTGGTGTTTTGTTTGTGTGAGGGTGTCAGATTCCCTGGAACTGAAGTTACAGTTGTGAGCTGCTGTGTGAGCCCTGGGAAATGAACCCAGTTACTCTGGAAGAACTGCTGAGCCATCTCTCCAGCCCCTTAGTAGTTACCTCTAAAGGATGAGTATTAGCCAGGAAAAGATAAACAGCAATGCTAAGATTCTGAGTTGCTAGAAATGTTTTTTGTTTGTTTGTTTGTTTGTTTGTTTGTTTTGAGTTGTTGTGGCATACAGATATGGTATATAGGTCAAAAGCTCTATTAGTGAATTTGCTCTTTGTTGTATGTGTTAGTTGCCAATTGCTGTCATGACAAATTAGCAGAACTGGTGGCTTAATTTGTAAATTCTCAGTTTTAGAAGCCACAAGTCAGTTTCAGCAGGATTAAAATCAAGCCAGGTAGAACAGGACCATGGTTTCTCTAGAGTCTTTTTATATGCCTTTTTTTTTTTTCCACTTCTAGAATTGCATTCCTTTGTTCCATTGCATGTGGTTCCCTTCTGTCTACAGAGCAAGCAATCAAGCATGTTCACATCTCATTTTCTTGTATTCCCTTCTTTGTGGTTAACTCTCTGTCTCTCTCTTAGAATAATGTTAGTGATTTATAGGACCTGGGTGGGCAGTCTCTCTAGCTCAAGATCCCTAATCATATCTGCAAAGACCCTTTCTTACATATGAGACAATACTCTCAGGTTTTGATAATTAAGACATAGCTACCTTTGGAGTATATTATTTGGCCCATCACAGTGTTATACCTCAGTGGAACAATAACAACAGTTCTGGTGGCACCAAAAAGAGATTATCATTATCCTGTCTTCAAGCAAGCATTATGACTCCTGCCTGTAATCCCAACACTTAGGAGGCTGAGGCAAGGGCATTGCTGTGAATTGGAGGCAATCTAGCAATGGCTACAGAATAAGACCCTGTCTTAAAGCTTTTCCCCAAAATAATGATTAATTTAAGATAGGAGCTTGGAGTATGGGGGTTGAGCCCCTCTTCTGATTTGGTACTCACTATATAGCTCAGGCTGGCCTCAAATTTTACACAGTACTCCTGGTAATTATTTAGGGCTTTCCTGAATTTTATGTAATACGAGAATGATGGTATATACTGCCTGGGCTCAGTGGGAATAGTAAGGCCTATAGCCTTTAGAAAAAAATCCTGACATATAGCAGTTGTTCAGTATGGTATTTGTTCTTCTGTGTTATGTTTGATAAAGTTACATACAGTGTACAGGGAGCTCTGCTTGCTGTTTTTTGAATGCTGATTACACCTAGATATATGAGTAGTCAGCTAAATGACAAGTCTGAGCAACTCTTTAGACTTGCTTTGTTTTGCTCCAGGTTGCCACATTCATCCTCCAGAAGATCCTCTTAGATGACACCGGTTTGGCTTATATATGTCAGACATATGAGCGGTTTTCCCATGTTGCCATGATCTTGGTGAGTTATTTCCTTTACTGTCTTTGCAATTTACTTCTGATCACATAATATAGACCCTTTGTAACTGGTCCAAAACTTAGTCTTCTGACTAGAAGTAACTGTTCTGTCCAGATACAGTGGTTATACAAGCTTGTTCTCCCAGAATCTATAAAGCAGAGAGAGGCAAAGGATCATCGCAGGCTTGAGACCAGCATGAGGTCCACACTAGCCAAGTGAAAAAGTAATGCCCTATCCCAAAAATACTAGGTGGCATGGTAGTGTGTGCCTTTAATCCCAGAACTCTAGAGGCAGAGGCAGGCAGATCTCTGTGAGTTCCAGTACAGCCTGATTTATGCAGTGCTAAGCTAGCCAAGGCCACATACAGAGATACTGTCTCAAAAAGGAAAATAAATAAATAATAAAAATCTTGGAAACTTCTATAGTGATTCTTAGATGATCTGATCTCTGGTGTCAATTAGAATTATTTTGTGCTTTCCCCCTCTCCTCTCCCCCTTGTTTTGGGTAAAACAGGGTAAAATGGTCCTGCAGCTATCCAAAGAACCGTCTGCCCGTCTATTGAAGCATGTAGTAAGATGTTATCTTCGTCTCTCAGATAATCCCAGGTAAAGATTTAACAGGATTTATAGGCCTTTAGGGAAATAATCTCATGAATGGATTTCATGCTCATGGCTCAGGTCCTCAGTCTTAAAGATGGGAAAGGATATAACTCTAGTTTATTTAAGACAAGTTCCTGTTAAAATGTAAAGTTCTGACTTTAAAACTCCACTAGTTAGATATTCCCATGTAACTCTGTCTTACCCTGAAATTCCAAAAAGCTCAGACAATTTCAGGGGAGCCATGTTGTGTGGTTTGGGCTTTTTGCGGCTGCTCCACATGATGAGAAAGACAAGTATTCTTTAAAAATCTCCATAGTCCAGAGGTTCTTCATTTAGCTTACAGTTCTCTACTTCCTGTAGGTGTTGAGCTTATTTCTTTTTCTTGTTATTTTCAAGATCTCTGCTAGAATCATATACTTTGCAGATGTAATGCACTTTAGAAATGTTTGACCTTTTGTCTATAATCCATAATTTATGCTGAAAGCTACATGTTCAGATTCTGCCAAGCCACATAATGGAGTGCTTTCTGAGTCAGGAGTCAAGTAGCTTGATGAATGTGAGCTCAGTCTCTAGCCACCAGTGTTATTTGAGCCCTAGCTATTCTTTGATCATTTTGTCCTATTTTTCAGTGATTCCTTCCTTCCCCCCAAGTTTGCAATATGCTTATTAGAAAGTCTTACCTATTTCAGAACAGCCCTATATGGAGTTCGCATTTGCCTGTTGTAGGATTCTAGATAAAAACTGCTACCACGGTTTTTACTGTTCATCCTTTATTAAGTTTTTCAAATACAGAGTTGAAACATTTCTAAACAGACATAACTGATGTTAGAATAGGATTAAAAAATCATTAATTTATCATATAAGTGAGATCATATCTGCTTTTAGTGTCCAATTTTTAAATAATTTCATTTACCATAAGCAATGTCTAATGGTATTTTGACAGTATTTATAATAAATCAGAACAAAGTTTGGAGTGGAGTAAACTATTGCACCATTTTATTCCATTTTTCTTTTGCATGAAGTTCTGCATTGTGGTATGGTGAAAATATTTGTGGACCACACATTCTAGGTGTTTTTAAAGCTGTGCATAACACCTGCTTTAAGAAATTCAAATAGTTCCTTTGTGTAACTTGACAGAGCCATAGATTTGTAGGAAGTTATATTAATATTGAAGAAAGGGGCTCTTCCCAGCCCCAAAATGTGGGTTTATTTGTTGTCTTTCTGGTTGGTTTGTTTGTTTCTGATGTAGGGCACGTGAAGCACTCAGACAGTGTCTCCCTGACCAGCTGAAGGACACAACCTTTGCCCAGGTGCTAAAAGATGACACCACCACAAAACGCTGGCTTGCACAACTGGTGAAGAACCTGCAAGAGGGCCAGGTCACTGATCCCCGGGGAATTCCCCTGCCCCCTCAGTGATCCTCCCTGTTCTGCTCACTACTCCCCTAAGTTGGGGAGTGGGGGTGGAACCTGTGAGGAAAACAGCTCAGGTTTTATTGCCAACTGGGAATAGACAACCTCAACGCTGAACCGCACTGGAGAAAAGGGGCAAGGTACCCCACTGAGGTGTGTGGGCTGACTGAAGGTCCTGATCCCCCTGCTGCTCCCAGGAATTGGGCTCCTGACACAGCAGTCTGCCACCACAGCCCCAAGAGGGTGTCAACACCAGCAAATGCTGTTTTGCAGCATGCCCAAGATGCTCCTGAACCTCTACCCAGCCACTGGTAGAGAGAGGAGAAATGGTAATAGCAACTCTAGGCATGGCAAGCACCTGGGACCAAGCCATGTGGCTCTTTTTTTTTTTTTTTTTTTTTTCTTTGCCTTCCTGGAAGACTCAAGATGTGTCTCTTAATTCTCTCTCTCTCTCTCTCTCTCTCTCTCTCTCCCAGTATTTGTTTACTTTGGGTTTTTGTTTTTAATCCCGAGAGGGTGTGTTTAATGGAATAAGCTGTAGTTTTCAGCAAAACTTTGTCAATTGGCACTGTTTACAGTCTGTTAGCTGCATAAGCTCAATAAAAAAGTTGGTCTGGCATTGCATCCCCTCTGGCAGACCAATAGCTGCATCAGGCTGTTGGGTAGAATGGGAGGCAGCGGAAGAGGAAAGCCAAAGGACAAGCAGGAACCCTCCACCTGTTCCCCTCTCCACCTATACTTTCTCTCCCAAGCCTGGCTGCTATGAGGCCCTTAACCTTGTTTCTGGCTTTAGCTGCTAGCTTTCCCAAATCTCAGTGCTTTTCCCTTTTTTACCACTTAAACTTAAAGCAGACGTCTTAATTTACCCAGCCTTCCTGAAAGAGATTGTTTTGGGGCAGGGGGGATGGCAGTCTTCAGATCCAGGTCTTCAAAGGAAGCAAGCACCTAGATACAGGTGATCCCATTCTTGTGTAAGTATCAACAGCGCCATCTCTCCTCATGATTATACTTGAAACAGTATTAGCTGAATGAGTTTCTTCAGATTTAAGATAAATAGCTGGACTCTGCTGGTTCAGTTTCCCTTTCAACATACTTTCTTTAGTCGATGGAAACTACAGGGTTGCCACTTAGAAAATTTTTTTTAGTTGTTGATAATGTGATAGAGTACCCATTCCATCTCCATGGGCTTCAGTCTATAACCTATTGTTGTAAACTGCCTTTCTTTCTGCAACTCTTTCCACCATCAGCCCTTGCTCTTTCTCTCTCATCCTCAACTCCAAAGATGGGAGTATTGATCCAACTCTAAAGAGAGACCAAATTTTCAGCCCACATCTCACATACTTGAAGATGTCTGTAACGAGTTTGAGGAGGTTGTATAAAGGGACAGATGCTTGTAGAAACCTTTGCAGAGGCAGTTGCATAACCCAAGGGCTCTTTAAGCCGACTTTCACAAAAAAAGCCGGCCTTGTTCATTGGCTTCTGTCTCTAGAGCCAGGAAACTAGTAATTAAGTAGCCTAGATTTAGGGGAGGGTAGAATAAACACGTATTCCCCTGCCTTCCAAACTGAAGAGGAGGGTCTGGCCTCAGGCCTGAAGAGGAAAAGTCTTAGAGAAAACAGCTTCAATCTGATAATGTGTTGACTCGCTCAACAGCTTGTGATGGGAAAAGTTCACTGATTTTTGGAATTCACCTTCCTGCTGAGCCAAAGTCTCTCATTCTTCTCCATGAAGGGGAGCAGCTGAGGCTTGGGGCCTTGCTCCCTGGGACATTCTCTCCATCTTTTGGTGCATTGGGTATGTTACTGTGCCAATAGTGTCTTACTTCATGTCCCATCTATTCTCAGCTGGCCTTGGAACCTACATAGTTGGATGGGGAGGGGTGCAATGGGTCTGATTCCTGTGGTTGGTCCTGATGTTGTATGTATTATATAAAGAGACCCCCTCCTCCCCTTATTTTGTGTTTTCCATCCCTCCCCTTAACAGGATTAAAATAAAACATGCTCTGGTTTTTTAAAAATATTTTTTTCTTTTAATTGAAGAGTTTATTTTGTCATCATAGAGATATCTAGGCACTTTAATCCAGTGATCTTTGTTAGACCTGCCTCTACCCTGTTTGCTTACACACACATAGACTGCCCTGCTAAGAGGACATGGTGGTTCCTTTATGGACAGATTTTTAGGTGGCCAGAAGGCTACAACTGATGATGAAAGAAAGCTGTTTGGGGGTCTATAATAGTGGCCCTTACCTGATAAAGTGTCTCTTGCACAGGCAGAACCTCACTTCTGGCTTCTGTGCCTGTGAGTGGGAGAGATTTCTGTAAGTAAACAGGTAGTGTTTACACTTATTATGGGTTTTAATTGTCATCTGCAGTTTAGGGCTTAGAGGACATCCTCAGAGTTGATCTCATGCATGGTTTAGTGAGACACAACCAGCCCGTTTGCGGGTTGTTTGTTTGTTTGTTTGGGGCTTTAAAAAGCCTGTACTGCTCTAGTGTTGGGATATGACAGAGAGGCATCTGCTGGCTTCAGAGAAGGCCTTTGTCTCTATATAGGATTTCCTTGCTTATTATTGCTGCTGCTCAAATGCCAGAAAAGGAGGACAAAGCTGTTACCAGAAAAGCATGAAGGGGCTGGGGCAATGGCTCATTGGGTAAAGTGCTTGCCATGCAAGCCTAAGGTCTTGAGTTTGGATTCCCTATCACCCACGCAAACAGAAACTGGGTATAGAAGCACACCTGTAACCCGGAACTGGGGTCACAGAGACAGGAAAGTGCCAGAGGCTTCAAGTCTAGCTAAAACAGCAGTCCTTGGGTTCAGTAAGGCCCTGTCTCAAAAAAAGTAAAAAATAAAAAAATAAAGATGGAAACCAGGCATGTTAGTGCACTTGGGGCAAAGCCAGGTGAATCTGAATTTAAAGCCAATTTAGTACACATAGTCACATAGTGAAGTCCAAGCTAGCCACGTACATAACAATACTGTTTCCTTTTTAAGATTATTTGTTTAATGTATGAGTGCTCTATTTGCACACCAGAAGAGGGCATCAGATCCCAGTATGGTTGTGAGCCACCATGTGGTTGCCAGGAATTAAAACTCAGGATGTTTGGAAGCACAGACTGTTCTTAACCAGTGAGCCATCTCTCTAAACCTGCAACCTTACCTGAAAGAAAGAGAAAGAAAAAGGTAGAAGATAACCAATGTTGCTGGGTGATAGTGGTGCACCTCTTTAATTTCAGCACTCAAGAGGCAGAAGCAGGCAGATATCGGAGTTCGAGTCCAAGCTGGTCTGCATAGTGAGTTCCAGCACAGCCAGAGCTACATAGTGAGACTCTTGTCTTGAGGAAAAAAGAAAAAAAAAAAAAGCAATGGGCAAGTAAAAGGTCATTGGGCAAAAGAGTTTGCCACAAGGCTTAATGACTTTTCAATCCCCAGGACCCACATAATGGGAGGAGAAAACTGAATCCAACAAGTAATCCTCTGGCCTCAACTGGGGCACTGTGCTCTGTTACCGCCCACACGTAAACAGACAACGTAATGAAATAAAATATAATCTCCAGGTCACACATCACAGATGAAAGTTGCTAGCTTCATATCAATATGAAGAAAAGCAAACTCAAAGAATAAAAGCAAGTCAGTTAAAACGGAAGGGGGAATCCTACAAACTAAAAACTACTTTGAAAGTATTGATGAACTTAACTCCAAACAGACAATCAGAGTTTGTTTTTTAAGATTTATGTATACAGTGTTTTGCCTGCATGTATTTATGCATACCAGAAGAGGGCACTAGATACTACTTACAGATGGTTATGAGCCACCATGTGATTGCTGGGAACTGAACTCAGAACCTATTAGAAGAGCAGCCAAGGCTCTTAGCCTCTGAGCCATCTCTCCAGCCCCTGACAATCAGAATTTTTAAATACATGACTTTAGGTGTGGGGTGAGGGTTTATACTGGGGGCTTGGGAGATGGCTCAGTAGGTCAAGTGCTTGCTCTCTGTCTTAGTTTTGTTTTTATTGTGATAAGACCAGGAGCAAAAGCAACTTGGGGAGGAAAGGGTTTATTTCCCCTTACAGGTTACAGTCCATCTTGAAGGGGAGGAACACTGGTTTGCCAGGCAGTTTTGTTTTTGTTGTTGTTTTTGTTTTTAAATACCATGCAGGACCACCTACCCAGCCAACACTATGTAAACCTAGTGGCCTGACCCCAGATGCATGTATACACCGTACATGTGTAACCCCAGCACTGAGGGGTCAGAAAGGTGGATTCTGGGGCCCTTTCTGGTCAACTAGTTTAGGCAATATGGTCAGTTCTAGGTTCAGTGACAGAATGTTTCTCAAAGTAAGCTGGAACTGATAAGATGGCCTGAGTTAGGTCCCCAGAGTCCATGTGAAGAAAGAAGAAAAGTCGACACATTTGTCCTCTGGGCTTCACACGTGGACCGTGGCATAGCACCCATACAAACACAATATTTTAAAAAGGAGGAAATGTCACCCAGAGCCAGGTTACATGTACACAAGGGAGGGCACATGCAGGTATGCATGCAGTCTGGGAGCACATAGCACTAATATCTTGGAATCGCTAATGGGGTAAATGTTAGGGACAGGATAAAGGAATAGATCTCAATTCACTTTTGAAGCAGCAGTGCCCAGCTGCCAAAACACGGCGGAGCAAGTTGGTCTGGTGCATGTTACTCGCCCTCAAGGTCTGGGTATACCTATCCGTGTTGTGTAAACGCACTTGATTGGCTAACTAAAGGGCCCATACCTGGGCAGGGCAGAAGGATCCTGGGTTTGGAGAGGACAGAGAATCATGGGGAATGGACAAGGAAAGAGCAAAGGCCTCCCATTAAAGAGAAGCCAGCTTCCATGTAGCTCAGTTTAGTACTCAATTTGTGATTCGCTTTCTCCAGCTTCCCAAATGCTGGGATTTATAGGCATGTGCTACTGTACCCAGTAGTGAGGACCAGTATCTTAATATGAAAATAGGAAACTGGGTGAGGTGTCCCATACCTATAATGGCAGTTGGGAGCTGAGACAAGGATCAGTGTGAGCCACCCATGTCTTCATAGGTTCTAGATTGTATTGGCTACAGAGATAGACCCTGTCTCAAAACTAAGCAGGCTGGGGAGATGGCTTCCAGTTAAAAGCACTGGCTGCACTTCAGAGGGCCTGGATTTGATTCCTAACACCCACACAGCAGTTCTCAAGTGTCCGTAGCTCCATTTCCAGGGAAGGCTAACATCCACTCTGACCTCTACAGGCATAGATATGCAAGTGGTGCACAGACATAAATGCAAGCAAATCACCCATATACATATTTTTTTAACAGAAAAAGAAGCAAGGGATATATCAGTGGTAGAGCACATATTTCAGGCCTTAAATTTTAGCTGTAGCACCATAGGAAATAAACTTCTGAACAAAATAATCAAATCTAGCAATGAATAAAATTAATGTATCATTGCTGGGCTTAGTGGTGCATACTCTTAATCCTAGCACTTGGGAAGCAGAGGCAGGTAAATCTCTGTGAGTTTGAGGCCAGCCTGGTCTACAGAGTGAGTTCCAGGACAGCCAAGGCTGTTACACAGAGAAACCCTGTCTTGGAAAAAACAAAAAATTACTTTAAAAGCATAAGATTAACCAATTTGTTGCAAAAATACCACACTGATTCAAAATGTGAAAGCCAGTCAATGGTTCACAACAGAAGGAGAAAAACAATCATCTAGATGAAAAATGCAACAGTTGACACCTACTTGTGCTTTTTCTTTTAATTATATGATAGCACATGTCTTTAATTTCAGTATTCAGGAGGCAGAGGAGGCAGATCTTTGAGTTCAAAGCCAGCCTGGGCTACATAATGAGACCCTATCTCAAAAAATAAAATTTTATAAAAGCTGAAGTTACACACATCCATAATCTCAGCATTTGGGCAATTGTGGCAGGAGATGCAGAAGTTCAAGGCCATCCTCAATACTTGCAAAGGCCCATCTTCAATAAAAAGAATCAACAAAAATCCTACAGCAAACCTCTCAAGAAAATGTTGAAATCATTCTCCATAAAGCAAGCACATGACTATGAGCCCAACACTAAGGAGATAGAGGTAGGAGCTTCAGTAATAATAAGTCCATCTCTGAGACCCTGTCTCAAAAGAAAAAAGAAAGTAATTCTCCCTGAGACAAAGACAGAACCTAGAATATCCAGTTTCATACCTCCACTATCAGTTCCCAGTCAGTGAGGAGGAGGGAGGGAGGAATAAGAAAAAAGGTTATAAAGGAGAAGAGCTTCTGGATATGATGACAAATTGATGGATATATTAAAAAAAAAAAAACTCTACAAATGCTTAGAATCACATGAGTTTAGCAGGTTATAGAAGGCAACGTCAATAAAAAACACCTTATGTGTTTATAGTACAGACAAAATAAAACTAAAAATATGTAGTACAGGGTTGGAGAGATGACTTAGTGGTTTATGTCCCTGGCTACTCTGACCTGGTTCAGTTCCTGGCAGTCCACATGGTGGCTGACAATTGCTCATAACTCCACTCCAGGACATTGGATGCCCTCTTCTGGCCTCCTAGGACACAGGCATGCACACAGTGGACATCATGCAGACAGAACAGTCACATGCATAAAATTATATATTTTTTTTTAGAAAAGGAGTTGTGGCTTCAAAACTTAGGCATACAATAAACAGAATGTGGTGGCACATGCCTGTAATTCTAGTTTACAAGGAGTAGAGGTGAGAGACTCAGAAGTTCCAATGTACCTATGTACATGACTACATAGGTAGTTTGAGGCCACCTTCAAAGATAAGCATATCTCAAAAGTAAATAAATGAAGTTAGAGACATATCTCAGCAGTTAAAGATTATCTGTTGCAGGATGGAGAGGTGACTCAGTGGTTAAGAGCACTGGCTGCTCTTCCATTGCCCATGTGGTGTCCCTTAACCATCTGTAACTCCAGTTCCAGGAGAACTGACATCCTGAGCAACAAGCAGACATGTCCACAGACATGCAGGCAGGCAAAA